TTTTTTTCTCGTGATCTCTCCTCCCTCCTCTCGATTCTAAAAGAACACAGGCATCATTCAGCATTGCCAGCTCCAGCAGCAAACATGTCCTGCTCAGTCGAACAGCAAATTAAAACCCCCGGACAATGGCTTCGATCCGAAGACAACGGGGCCTGCCTTCGTGCCAGAAAGTTTCCGGTCCGCACCGAAGGGCTCGATGACATCCCCTCGGGCATGAGAACCTCAGTTGACCGACATTGATTCTGTTTTGTGTTGGGAAGATGCAGACATACTTGCTCGGACCAGAATCCAAGTAAGGCTCTTAATTCCATCAGTAAAGACAATACCGACTTGTCCTGTAGCTACCTAGCCAAAGACGCACGCAGAACCCATTATAACACATGTACGGGACCACGGTCTGAAGCTTCTTAAACAAGAGCCCGAAAGCCAAGAGCGAGGTTTATTTAGGTTTTAGGGTTAAGAGCTACCAATGTAGCCGGCGTGAACGAACATCCACGGCATGCACAATCGTGTTCGCAACGGAATGTACATGCGGATGTCGATCGCGAGCGTCCGCAACATGTCATGGTGTATGAATCCCCCTCCTAGGTTCTAGACGTGCAGTCATGACAGATTGGTACGACCAGGAACACTCCGACACGGGTTTATTAAGGCTAGGCGGGAAAGGTTGCGTACTTAAGTAGTTCTTGTGAGGGTTTAGGGTGTAGGGTTTAGGGTTTAGGGTGTAAACTGTTTAGGGTGAATTAATTTAGGGTTTTCTGGGAAGCTGGACAATGTAGCCAAAGGCTCTGAAAGCCCTGCGCCCCTGTAAAACCGCAGTACTTAAACCGTTTCAGACCGTACTCCCTAAACTACTCCCCAAACCGTAGGCCCACACACCAAACCCTATAAGTCCTAAACCCTAAACCAGATATTAATGCACGAGTGATGAAGTTTAGGAAGATTGATCATTCAAGGGCGTGAGCACATGCCGGGGTTTCGAGCAATTCTAGAAAAGCCCAGGATATCGCCAGCGCTACCGCAGTGCCGTGATGACGCTTGTGCCGCAGCGCTACCGCAGTGCCGTGATGGCGCTTGTGTCGCATGTACATGCGGCAGATGTGTGCATGTCGTGGGCTGGGGATCGTGATTGAAACAGGTTGCAGGGCCGCGGGGCATGCACATGATCAACTTTGACTTGGGGTAGATCGGCCGGTTCATTGCTCGGAGTGGCGCAGCGCTATCAGAATTCAGTCGTCGTCCTCCATATCAGACAGCAGCAACCCCGAACATGAACAATGTCGGCAACTCTTAATTGAGTATAGACGTTGACACCGACTTGCGCGTTGTCCAAACGAAGTAAACACATCTTCTCCTCTTCTTTTCAAGTACAGATCTAGGCAGTCGTGACAAGCCATATGCCAGTTGGTCGCTTGGAACGCTGTGACAAAGAAACATAAATGTCAAGCTGGTTCCATAGCCTCGTACACATATTTAACCGGCCCCCTGTGCTTTAAGATTGTCCGTTGACAGAAAACAACTCGGTCCGGCACCGAACAGGTAGGAGCTCCCAAAAGCGAAACCCGGAAGTGATTATTATGAGGAGCAGACTTGATGCGACTCTCAAACACTCACTACGGTCTCGGCTTATAAGTACACAACCCAGGAAGACTACATCGATCCTTAAGTTTGATCGATGACATTGCTGGCTATATGCAACCACTGGCGGCCGACAATCCCCAAACCCTAAACCCAAAGTCCTAAATCCAAAGCCTGAAAATCTAGGTTGTCGTCAATCCCAAAAACCTAAACTAGCCCTATACACCCAAAGCCTGAAAATCTAGGTTGTCGTCAATCCCAAAACCCTAAACCCCCTAAACCCTAAATCCCAAATCCAACGCCCTAAACCCTAGGTTATATGGGGGGGCTTCTGTAAAACCCAAAGTCCTAAACCCTAGGTACGTTGGGGCCTCTGCAATCCCCAAACCCTAAACCCCAAAAACTAAACCCCTGAGCTTGAAACTCTAGGTTGTCGACAATCCCAAAACCCCGAACCAAAAATCCCAAATCCAATCTGCAATCCCCAAACCCTAAACCCCAAAAACTAAACCCCTGAGCCTCAAACTCTAGGTTGTCGACAATCCCAAAACCCCGAACCAAAAACCCCAAATCCAACGCCCTAAACCCTAGGTTATGGGGTTTAGGATGCTCCTCCGTATGCACTAAACCTCAGTACACTAGTTTTGGGACGTCGCCGTAGTTGCCCAACTGCACGGTCATATACGAGAGTATCGAGTCTACGAAGTGCTCGTATGGATACGAGCACTCTCGTATGTATACGAGAGTCTTCGTATATTTTGATGCATACATATGCATGTGTTTGTGTTAGTTTATAAACTATGAACGAAAGCCAGGCAGCATCCAGACCACAAGCCCGTGAGACTCCACCTCTGTTGTGGTGGTAAACAGCCGGCACTCAGACAATCACAGTCTGAATCAAAGGACTCATCACATGCTCCTGCCTTATGTCACTCTGGCAAAGGAGGCTCGGGCGAAATTGAGCTCTCCGAACACCAATGGAGACCCCTCCGGCGGGCGATCTTCTGCCACGCCTTAGTGGAGCGATCGGACCCAAAAGGGACAGGCCCAAGCAAGCGGCAGAGAGGACGTTCCCTAAAATTGTAGGCTAGGGGCGTTGTCGCTTGCCACCGTCCACCAGGCTAAGAGGAACCCCGGTTTGCTTGATCTTGATGCTCAGCAGATCCTGATTCGGCATAGACTCTGACGGCACAAGCGAGCTCCATCGCCTTGCAGACGACCCCACTGCTTCCGCTCGGGCTGATACCAAGCTCGGGACCACCACGGTGCTTTGTGAGGGTCGGGCTCTGGTCCACACCCAGCCGCGTGGCTTTTTCGCGGAACTCTCCTGACAATCTGACACACAACACAGGCAGGGCCTGCCTTGACCTGTCGCCACGTCCACAACTGCCCGTTGACGCAGACGCTGCTCACCCAAAACGTTCAACAATTGAAGCGTGTGCGACTGTTAACCTATTGACATGACCGATCGAATGCTGAATCAATGCCTTTCACTTCTCAAACGGTGTCTTCGCCTCGGGCATAATAGTCTTGCTCTGCTTCGACTCGTCCAGGAACCCAGTCGTTCGGGCCTGGCACAGGACATCATGGCAGGGGCAAGATTCATTCGCACTGCTTCCTTGCAATGCCCAGCATTGTCTCAGGGGTTGATAAAATGCTTGCCATCGAGACCCGCATCTGGAGCCTTTGTGAAGCCCAGTCAGCGTCAGCAGCAAGACCCTTCAAAGTATTGACCGCGAAACCTCATCACCCCCCCCTCCCCCCCTGGCCACTCTGATCTGCCTCGGATACAGTCTTGTACTACACATCCTCCCCATTCTGGATGGTGTTGACCACCGCCTCATTGATTGTGGCTCCTGACACCGGCCGCTTGCAGGGTGCGGGGGCTCGGACGTATCGCCTTGACGGCGGCTGGCTTGGCAGTGTCCCTCTGACGCCCTCCTAAAATCTCTGAGCCACTCGGGCATGAGCAATACAGCGGCACTTGCACAATTCTGACTCTGCAGATTGCACACAAACAGGATTGCAAAAACTGCTTGGCATCGCAAGGCAAGCATTGTCCGTTTTGGGCCTCGGCCAGAGCAACTTCAGCATCGACAAGACGCTACTGTAGCAGCCTGCCGACAATTGAAAGAGATCACGCCTGCCTCGGACTGAGATCCCACATCCAGCGCCAAACCGGCACCTCGGACGATTTAAAGATCACGTCCACATTCCACGCCGCCTCGGACTGTGAGATGAATCAGGCAGCATCTCGGGAATCAGCCTCCTGAGCCGCCGCAGCCGCCGCAGCTGCCACTGCTGCTGCGTACTCCTCCTCGGACAAAGTCTCTTTGATCGGCTCCATGACCTCACGGCATCTCGGGCATCTCAGCCTGAACTTCCGCACCTTTTTCTCGGCCGGCTTCTTGGTCTTCTTCCACACCGCGCTTGCGCTGCTCGTGCGAATCTTGAGGTTCATGAGCTCTTTTCGGCCCACCTTCTTGCCCGTGCCGGTGCTCGCGAGACCCATCTTCTTCAGCTTAGCAGCAGTGTCGGCCGGAATCGCGGTATCGCCCGTGCGGATGACATTCGTGCCAATCACGTAAAACCGCGGCCCGCCCTTCTCGAAGACCCAAGGAACTCGGCCATCTGTCTCGCAAGCCTGTGGGGTTATGTCGGGGCCAGGGCAGAATGTTTGAGCACAGTCAGTATTATCTAAGATGCTGTATTCAAGGGCTCAGGAGGTGACGCCTCAGACCCGAAAGTATAATGGTTCAAAGGACCGCGGAAATTCATGAATACAAAGCATGCTCCGTTGAACGTGCTTTCAACAAGCAGCAGCATGTCGCACAGAAACCGTGGCGTTCCAGCTTATTTACGGTTGCACTCGCTGCCTGCCAAACGGACTGTCGGATTGGGTGTTGTGGCCGCTCAATCGGATTGTGCAAGAAC